CCAGTCTAATTCTGCTTTGTGCTCTATTCATCAAGATTTGTATCATTAGCTTCTGTGGTTCATTAAACTGATAGTACAGTGGAGCTCACATTCATTTGCACCTTTCTTTTAGATAAGGCTTTGAAGATGAATCTACTGAAGGACTTCAGCATGGTGCCATTATCATATATTTCATTTATCATTTCCGTGATCTTATCAATGCCAAAATCATCCAAGGCTGTAGGCATCTCTGTTACTATCCCATTTGGTCTTGCTACTTTATTCTTGTTAATTTTGTTCAGTGCCATTCTTATTTCAGACTTGAATATTTATGGCCCCCTTCATATTTTTATGTATTGTAGGTTTCTCTTTCCCATCATGAAAAAGTTCTGATGTAGTCACTTTGTCTTTGGAGTAGTTTTTCCTTCTCTATGGTCAGTGTTCCTTCCTTTGATTCTATACAGTCTGTTGATGAGCTGATCTTTTCTCTTAATTCTTTTATTCTGTTGTGCATACTTGCTTTATCGGCATTGCTCACCTTTTCTATTTCCATGCACTTTTCATTGAGCCATTCCTCTTTAACATTTGTTTCTAATTTCTATGTTTAGTGTTCTTTTCCATTCTTGGCATTGTTTGTTGTCACTTTGCCATCATTTCTACAATTTCATCTGTTATCCACTCTTTCTTTTCTTGTCATGACCTCATTTGCTGAAATCACCAGAGTTTCTCTTAACATGTTCCACTTTGAATTTGTAATCTCATTCAAGTCATATTTGTTTTTAACTCTGTCTTCATATATGTTGTAACTTGGATTATTCAGGGGTTTGTTGTATTGCAGTTCAGTCATTGCTGTGGTCGTCTTTAGTTTTCATAGTTTTACTCTGATGACTGGAATATGATTACTTCCACAGTCGGCACTTGTTGACTATGTTTTGCAATGTAGAATCAAGTTTCTGAATCTTTTGTTGATTGTTATGTAATGAACCTGGTTCTTTCTGTCTCCTCTCAGACTTCTTTGTGTTCATAGGTGTTTAAGGTGCTCTTGAAACCAGGTGTTGTTAATTATTTGGTCCTTTGCTCTGTATCACTGGACCCATCTTTCACCACAATGCTTTTGAATTCCTAGTCCAAACTTGCCAATTATTTCACCTCCTTGTTCTTTTCGAACCTTGGTATTCAGGTTTCCCATGATAATAGTAAATCAGTGAGCCTTGGCATTGTTCCTTGAGCTGTCAAAGTTACCAATATTTTCATCCTTGCTCTGTGCTGTTAGTGCATATACAACAGTAATTGCTTTGTTAGAGGGCTTCTAAAAGAATTCTGTCTGAGAATTGACCATATCCCAGAACACATTTCTTCATGTCATTATCTAGCATTAAACCTACACCTCTTTCATTTTTCTATCCACCTGCATGTATTCTTTTTAGTTCCCATTATTTGCCCACCTAGTTTTGCATACACATAGAATGTTCACTTGTACCTCATAATTATTTATCTGGAAGACTTAACAACTATATATCACTTAAAAATTATGTAAATAAACAAAAAAATTGCTTTAATTTTTTGGAAATTAATTGGATAAGAGAAAGAAGAATTCATTCAAAATGTATGAATCAAAACTTTTAAGAAAATTATTGATAATGCTGTACCAGAAACACTACTGCATAGCCTGTATGCATGTTGTATGCACTCTGTTTTATAACCATTTTTTTATATTCACTTTTTTGTTGCTACTGTGTGTTGGTTAAACAATTTTTAAAATTTAACTTATCTGAAAAAATATTGACTGCTTATTGGATGGAAATTTTTTTAAAGTAAACCAGAAAAAATTGTGTTTATATTTTATTTTTGTTCATCTATTAAAAAATTATATTGAGTTAATGTTTCATCAAAATGATTTCTTATAAACTATAAATATACCATTCTTGTAGCCAGATGTAACTGATCGCGCTCTCTCTCTTTCTTGCTATATATATATATATATATATATATATATATATATATATATGCTCAAAGATGTGTAGCATACAATAAAGTTTTATTCACTATGTCATCTGTGTAAATAATATAAGCTCTGTTCTCAAGCCTATTCTGAGTTCAGCTGAAGCTGAGCAATGTGCCTTTGTTACCCATTTGTGCTTTAAGCCAATTGGGAGAATTGAACTTAGTTCAACCTTATAAATCTTAAACCATTTTATTGTTTTCCAACTTCTGTATCTATCATACTTACTATTTTGGATTATGGATAAATCTTCAAAAACTAAGCATTTTATGTATTTGTTTATTTTTTCTATTTAAAACCAATTTTTGTTTCTCTAAAAAAAAAAAAAAAAACTATTGTAATGTTTGCAAACAACAAATTTCACTACTGGTTATTTTATTATTATTCTAAACATAATGCACATGACTGAAAAAATTATTAAGCAAAATAATTTTATTTAAAAAAGCTTGAAAAATTAATAGAAATTAAAATTGATAGTTTATAAATACATTACTTATATTGATAATGTTATTTTTTTCATGTCTTATTACAATTAATACAAATATTAAATTTATCACTAATGTTTATATAGTCTTTACGTAGTTTTGCATTGCATAAGTGTTAAGTTTACACAATATTACTTATATTAGTTTATATACATATATGTTAATTAGCTTGAGTAAATGCATGACAGAACAGGATTCAGGAGAAGTAACAAAAAACAAAATTTATCAACCGCCACAAAGGACAGGAAGTTGTAGAGAGCTATGATTGCCTACATCCTGAGGGGACACAGCACATGAAGAAGAATGTTAATAATAACCAGCCAAGGCTGAAAAGTCCTACTTAAAGACAGGACTTCTCAGTTTGGGCTGATTATTAATTTCACTGTTTAAGAAAATAAAAAAACAGGGCTATCAACTCATGCATATATTTCCTACAAAGATGATACTGGCCTGCTATATTAAAAAAAAGAAAGACATTGTGCATTAAGGAAAAGTGTAAATTAAATTATTTTAATATTTTCTTTAGGATACAATTCATGGATTTATGAAATGGAACTATTTGTCCTAAGTTAAAAAAAAAAGATATGTTTATAGAACTTTCCTTATTGCTCATGTGATATGATACAATGTACTATACTGGAATTATTAATTCTACTCAGATTACATGTATAACATTATCATTAACTTTGAAATGTTAGATGATATGTAAGGAAAACCTTTTTGTTAATAAATTCACTGTCTACTTGTTAATTTTTATTTGCTCACATGACTAAAATTTCAGAGAAAGCAAAATAAGTAAAATAAAGAAATGGAAATTGGAAGTGGTATTTATTAAGAATTATTCTACTGAAATGATTTTGGGTTAGTATTTTAAGAAGTAAAAGATTTGCCTTTGCAAGCTAGTCATTAGATTCATAAAAAGTGACTTCCATTCAAAATATATCTAAAGCATTCTTCTTCACTCTTTGTGTCTGATAAAAATAGGATGATGTAACATGGCCCAGATGTATGTTTGTATATCTTTTTTCTATATTTTTAACTAAGAATATATTTATTTAGAAATGTTGAATATTTTAGTACTAGATTATAATATTTTTCTTAGTTTAACATCAATTTTATTTTTGCTTCAAATGTTTGATATCAGATATTCTCAAACTAAAAATATCTCAGCAGTTAAATCTCTTGATCCAACCCTATGAATATAATTTTGAATCACAGTCAGAGGAGATTGAACTAACTGATATTTTTAAATTTGGTAAAATTCTTAGGCAACTTGGTAGATTCCTTGCTTGATCTTAACGTAACAGTTTTTTTAAGTAAATTTCTTTGACACAGGCATCTTATTTTTAAATTTAGTTTTCCCTAAAACTATAGGGTGGACCAAAAGTAGACATGCACTTTCCATTTTTTAAAAACATTTTATTACATTTATATTTATTTGTTACAATCCTATTTGTTCAAAACTGTTTATGTACATTTGTTTAAGATTTTAATTATTAATCTCTTAAGTGCACAAAATGTCCTCTTTCAACATTGCAACATTCCTCAAACATCTCCAAAACACTATGACACACAGCACAACACAAATCCAGATCTGCATCAATTTCAATAAATACTTCTCAGATGTAGTATTTTAATTTGTCCACCTTATGGGGATTTCTCTCATAAATCTTGTTCTTTACTACCCCCCAAAAAAGGAAATCCATTGGTGTTAGGTCAGGTGAATGTGGTAGCCATTCAATTCTGCCTCTTCTTCCAAACCAATGCTGTGGAAAGGTTTGGTCAAGGTATTACCTTACTGCCAAATCACAATGGAGAGGTGTTCCATTTTTTTTGAAAGAACAGTTCAGTAAAGTTAGCTCTTGTTCTGAGCTGTGATCTAAAATGTGAAACAAATATTGAAAAAACTGTAAGCCTACTTTTAGTCCACCCTGTATAATGACTTGGCTGTTGGAATTAATCCATAAACTTTATTGATTTTAGTTCAATACTTACTACAAAAACACTTACCTCTTTTTGTTGTTTTTTAATTTTTATTTTTCATATTATTCATTAGTTTTTAATTTGAATTAATAAAATGTATACATTAATGTTATAAAGATTATTAGATTTGGAATAGTCTTACAATCAATTTTGATTTTATAAGAATGCAAATATACATTTTTATTTTAAAACTTGAATTGGGTATTTTGAATAACATGGCAGATTTTGTAACCATCCATTTCAAAACTATCTCCAAATTTAATTGTAAACGCATTCATTTTTTTGATATGATTGCAATGATAGTATCTTCATCCATCATTTTCATCTTTACATTTGGACAAAATAAAGTTGACTCTTTCTGAATATTGCCTGTCATTAGAATGCTTTTTTTTTGTTTTTATTATTGCAGTGTTTTATTTTGCATGTGCATGATTTTATATTAACATTTGCTTTTATATTAACATTTGCTTGTTTTCATGCTGTAGTATTGTGTTTTTTGTTGTTGTTGTTGTTTTTTGTGTGTGTTTAGTTTCCTTAACATTTGCTCTCAGTGACAGAAGTAAAGTTGAAGGAGACCCCAGCTGAACCGCAAGCACAAGATGGAGGCTGTGGATGCTGAAGTCCCTGCTCCTCCCAACATCTGTCAGTCATCTCCGTCTAAATTCTGAATCGCACACACACACACACACACACACCTCTATTGACTGAATGAATACTTTCAGAGTCTGGCTACATAATCAACTAACAAAGAACAATAATAAATTTTGAAAAGTGTATGTATTACAAAAATAAATAACTTGCAGTTAGCCATATCATTTCACCATTTTACTTTACCTGTGTAGCCTCCTTTCAGACAACAACTGAAATGTGATGACCAGGCCTTGTGTGTATGATATGACATGAATGGATGACTTTAATTTTATATGCTTCACTTTTACAATAGGATTCCTGCTTTTTGTCAAGCAATGTGCTTTTTTGTGTGACTTAAATTTTTTTTCTAAAAATGGGGTGTCTTTATGCTGTGTAAGTATTTATAATATTGTTTATTTTCTTTTTTAAGTTGCTATCTAACAATGTACAATAAATATCTATGAACAGACAGATGACAATATTTTTTCTCTGAAATTGGTTACCTCTTCCAGTTGCTCCAAATTTTATTTTTGCTATTTAACTTCAATGAAAATCTGCTTTAAGTGCCTAGATAAAATATTTGTAGCAAGAAATATAAAAGTACTGTTTATTCTACAGGTTAGTCCTAATTTTATTTTAAATTTGTTTTTTTAAAAATAACCTTTGGTTTGCTTGTATTATGGAGGGAATCTCATTCCCATCTGTTTGAAAGGATCCATCCATCTATGCTGATTGGTTTTGTTGACATGCTCTGTTACCCAGGTAAGACTGATATACATAAACATTTATAGCTTATTTGATAATTTGCCTCCTCTTCCCACTGAGAAGACTATTACAGCCTTTCTTATTCGCTGTGATTAAGTTTTCCATTTTTAAAGAATAAGGTGTGTGCTTATATATTCTATAATTAAAATGGGTTGAAAATAAGTTTCTTTTAAGGATACCAAGCAAAATGAAAATATTTGGTGGTGGTTCATCCCTGTACTACACAACTATTGTAATTGCTTGTACTATAGGACTAATAACCACAGTAATCTCATGTTTCAGTTCCTAATACTACGATGTAACGATGCTATTGACAATGGAAAAAGCAAACATATTCTGTTCAATTTTAGAACTTTGCTGCTGACCACTTCCCTTTGGGGCAAGATGCAGCCTAAATTTTGTGGGCAAAATTTGTTTCATACTGACTAAATAAATATTGATAAAATCTGGAGGAATCCTGTTTAGAGGGAAACTATTTTAGAACCATTGCTACAATATCAATATATAAGCATTCTGACCATTACTAGAGTGTGTAAAATCTTATCAAAATTAATTTGTACAGAACAAAATTTTATAAAATTTGTTTTATATATTTTTTTCTTAAATTATACTGATTGACTGCACTTTGTAGTCAACTGCATTCTTATCCATTTTCATTGCTGTAACCTGTAACGCAATTTTCCTCACATGAAATTTACAAATACTTTTACAAATTGCTTTATCTTCTCACTGTTGTTTTAAAAATGACTGCAACCAGAATTTTGAGTTTGGTAGATATTGTTGTTTTGGTTTATATTTAATTGGTTATGAAATGTTTTAATGAAAATTCATACAACCTTCTGCTTTACTTGCAGATTTATCTGATGGTACTTAACTATATTTAATTCACAGATTAATAAATCTTTTGGTATTGCTTCTGTATATTACCTGGAAAAAAATTTTTGGCTCTTATGTGACACCATATTGGGAACAAAATATTTTCAATGTTAATCTGTTTTTTTTTTCTGTCAACTTGAACAGACTTTATCAAAGAACCACTTGAAAGAGGCCAAAATTGTTACAAAACTTGAAAATAAATTTGCTAGCTATAAATTTTCCTGCTTTATTTTTAAGTCTGCTGTAAATGTGAATTAATGTCACAGTAGACATTATAAAATACTAAATTTAAAAAAAATGTGTAGCTATTATGAGAGACTTGCATCCTGGCTTTAGAATATCAAACTTATTAAAAGATTATAAAATATGACATTTTACAATACAACTTTTTAAATGGGATTATTAAACAATATTTTTTTATAAATTTGTTATGGGAATGCAGAAGTAATAAAATTATTTAAACATTTCAGCTATAGAAAATCAAGGTATTATTGAGTTGAACATAATAAATAATTTCTGCATACCAAACATTGAATTCCCTCTCTCACATTTCCTTAGATTTCTTTATATAGCCTCATATTCTGAGCTTTCCTTTAGATCTGAAAAAAATCATGCATCAGAAATATAATGAAAAATAGTATTTGAAATGCAATATAATTTATTTCAACTCTTTTTCTCATATATAAAAACTGATCTCGATGAAACAAAAATGAAATCAAATATTTCAAAATTTATCTTGGATAATATTGGAAGCCAATAATCTTACAGAAACAAAGGAAAAATTACTTTGTCCTGACTTCTGGGAGCATCCATTCCTTCATATAGGATGGGAATAAATGTTTATTATTACCACTTTTGTTTATAAGTTCTTTTTGTGGTGTTTTACACAGATTTTATTCCCATCATGTGGATGCATGAAATGTTACTGGTGGTTAATAATCTGGTCATAAATGACTTAAGTTGCTTAGTCATTGATTTGTAGTTATAATTGTAGTTCTCAATGTATTGCTAAATAATTAGCTCCAATGGATAAGCAGATTGACCAAGAACTGGTATTGGAAAGCACTTCCTCATATCTCTCTCCACTCAACTCCAATGGATACCCACTGACATTGCCCAAAATATCTATGATTTTTTAAAAAAATTCGAAATGGGAGCTCAGAATATGAGGCTAGGTATGGAAATTTGAGAGAAATATAAGGGAAATAATTCAATAGTTGATATGTAGAAATTATTTAGGATAGGACAACAATCAACAATACCCCAAAATTCAAGGTCAGTTGTTTTAGTTTGTCTCATAGAATTCTGTTATTTTACCAGTTTTTTCACAGTTCAAATTTCCGTGCAGTTCAAATGATTTTTTTTTATTTTAATCTAAAATCTCCTGCTTATTTATACCTTCCTGATTATCAATTAAACCATATCATTGTTTGATTTTATTCAAAATATAAAACATTATGATCTTTTTGTTCAGCAAGTAGAATTTTCTTTTACCCTTGAATATATAAAAAAGAATGAGCATTCAAGTACTATTATAGCAACAAATCTAAAACTCAGTGAGTGATTTTAAAGGAAGAAAATTACAAATTAAGACTGATAAATAATAAAACAGACAATTAAATAATAGATACTGAATGTCTTGATAAAATATCTTTCTCATATAAGACAATTTTGAGAAAAAGTTTACCTTGACATGTTTGGTTGGTGATCTAGCATCATTAGAAAAAGAATTTTATTTCACAGGGGCAAAATCTACATTAGCAAGACAAAATGTGATTCACTTTAAATATCTGAATGCTTTATTTTTTTTTTTTTTTTTTGACTGTATTGTTATAGAAATTAAATTTTAAATAATTTCAATTCTTCTTTTTTATTATTTAAGTTTCTCATGTTGTTTCAATACTAATCTATTAAGAAAAAGGAATGATTCTTTTGTATATTAATTGTAAGGAACTCATAGATCATGGCACTTTCAATTCTTTTTCTTATGACTTAGGATTCCCCACCAGCAAGATATATCTAGGTAAATATTTTTATCCAATTGTCTTATATTTTTCCTGTTCTATTTCCTGTCAGTCCAACTTTACAAATATACACATACACACAGCATATTTTTACCATTTGATCAAAAATAGTTTTAAAAGTGGAACATTACTGAAACCATATGTTGCACTTGTTTAAGACTGAAAAATTAATTTCTCTTCTTTCTCCAAAGAAGACTGTTTCAGAAAATTTTCAAATAGAAGAACAAAAAAAATAATTAAATATAAATTAATAGTAGTTAATTAAATTTATTGATCTTATTGTCTCTGAAAAATCAGTCTCTAAAGCTTCTTCATTAGAGAAGTTATAAGTAGACTTCATTTGTGCACTCTGTGTTGGTTAAAAGAAAAAAAACAAATTGATAACCTTTTAGGTTTTGAAAATAAGGTGAAATGAACAATCATTTTTTTTTTCTGTACATTTTATCTCTATTTTTGGCATTCAACACAAATGTGTAACTCAAGAGACTCTGTTCTATCACATTTGATATCCTACTTAAAAGTCCATACTGAGAGAACATTCTCTTCTAATGATTGCATTCTTAAGTATTACCCTTGGAAAAAGCCAAGCCTCCTATAAGCTTCCTTCCAGACGTCTATTGCAGGTCAGTCCTTTAACTTGCTAGATTTTTTTCCTACCAAATGTTAATTGGTTTCTTTCTGTTTACCCAACTTTCTATACTGCTTTCTCTTAACACATATGTGCATGCAAACACACACACACTAATGTTCCTTGACAGCATATTTAGTATATATAAAACATGCAGATATAGTAAGAAAATGTTTTTATATTATAAAGTTAATTCTTTTCTTATATGTCTATATTAAAGTAATTTTTTTTGTTAGCCCTAATTAAGTAGATAAACCTGAATATATAATATGATAATTCTAATTTTTTTTTTTTTTTTTGCAAATAATAATAATAATGGCTGCTTCCAGTTTCAAACTGTCAGTTTTTTAGATTAATTAGATAATAGATGTTATTTGTGGAACTGCTACACCATTCTCAATTCTTATTAATGCCATCTTTTATTCAAAATGGTTCTTGTATTTTTTTCATTTTAATATATTTTAAGTGGCGATCAATATTATTTATTTGAAATTTATATAAATCTACAGTGTGATTGAAAAGTAATTCCATATTTCATGTCTGAGTGGCCAGCCAGGAGTCCTGACTTAACACCCTGTGACTTCTTTTTTCTTTGGGGGTTGGGTTAAAGGAGCAAGTCTATTATACCAAACCAAAGACTTTGAAGGAACTTTGAAGTGCACATACAAGAAGTTATGTCTTCCATACCACAAGAGT